CCCCATCGGAGCGGTTTCGCCCCCCCTGCCCCCCGGGTGTTGCACTGGGATTGGCAGGAGCCGCTTCTCCGCCCGGAGCCCTGATCTGCTGGGAGACCTCAGGGCAGGGACCTCTCCCTCACCTCCCTAAAAAAATATGCAGTTCCACCATTGATCTTTCCACGCAGTGTTGACGGGGAGCAGCTACCCCAGTTCTGCCCTGCACACCTCTCCCCCACACCTCCCCAAAAAAAGCCTTTTCCAAACACTGGGCCTTGGGTCCTTGTCTCAGCGCAATCTCTGACCTCCGCTGTGGCCGTGCAAAGCAGCCGCACGACAAGCCCAGCATCCTGTCCACAAGGAGGGCAGTGGCCAGCAAGAGCCCAGGACCCTCTTTCTTTTACAGACGGCTGGGTCTTTAACGTAACCCTGTTAATAAACCTCACTTGGCAGCTGGAGGGGCAGGTGCTCCGCTTCCCAGAGCACTCACCTTCTGCCAGATGGGAATTTTCTCTCTGCAGCCACGGACCTCCAGGGTCTCAGCACCAGAAGGCACGTTTGCTCAGAGGCTGTGGGCCCCATCCTCCCCTGCCTTCTGCTCCCACCAGCCACTCCTGTATGGTCCATTTTAGAGAAAAGCCAAGCAAATTTCCCAGAGGAATTCTCTCCCAAAGCCAGCTCTCACAAAAGGCAGTTTTAATCCAAGACCTGGCTCTTTCTCAGCTAAAGATCCCCACAAAAAGCCTGTGGGATCTTCCATGTGCCCAGAGGCACCAGGCACTGCAGTGCCCTGCTCTACCATGGTGACGATCCTGCTCTACAGCAAAGGGGGATACCCACGACTAACTCACCTCCCTGCTTCACAGCACGGAGCAAAGGGGACCGCAGCCTCCATCCCTCTCCTCCGCGGCCAACCTCCAGCCTGGAGCCAGCATGCACAACAGTCCCGTTCACAGAAACCAGACTCCGGAAAGGAGCAGCCTGAGCAATTATTTGCTTAAAGACAAAGCCGCGTTGCTCTTCTTTCCATGCGATGGTCCAGCGCGGCTGCATGAGAGCCGGGCGCTTGGCATCGGCAGGCCACGTGCTGTGCGTTGCAGCAGGGGGTCACGGCCGGGTCTTTGGAGTAATCTGCAACCGAGACGTTGTCTGTTGCGATGTCCTCCAGAGCTTGGGCGTAAGCCCTGCCGATTGCAGGTAGCACTGCCTGATACTCTCTGGATGCCACGTCCAAAGGCTCCTGCTCCTGGATATCACGATCCAGATTGAAAATGAGGGGTGGCTGGTGATGCTCAGCTGGCCCAATGCTCCCATCGCAAGCCATCGCCCCTCCTAGGGAGAAAACAAGAGAAAAACACTGGAGTCCCAGGCTGCCCAGGGATCACCTCTGTATTCCTCACCCGCCTGTGACGGCCCAGTCCCAGCGTGTCCCAGCTCTGGGAGCCCGGTCCTTCTGCTAGTCCGAGAGTGCTTCTGAGGCCAACAACCCTGGGCTGCAAAGCCCATCACAGACACAGGGGAGCACGTGCTTATCCTTGCTAGGTTTGCTCTTGCTTGAATTAACCTGAGCTGGTTTTTACCTATATCTGCAGGGAGCCAAGAATTCCAGAAGTTTTTTCCCAGACTTTACCATCTCTAAAAGGGACACAGTACCTGTGGTGTAAAACGCCTTGTACTGAGCCAGCCGTAGCGTCTCTATCTCGCCGTCCTTCCCAGCTGCCCCGCTGTTGGGGTGGAGCAGAACCTGAAGGAAGAAAAGTGCCCGTCAGCCCATCGCAGAGAAAACCTGCTCTGTGAGACCCGCTCCCGCCCCAGAGGAGACCACATCCCCCCCATGCACATGTTCAGAGACACCATTTAGCCCCTGGACTTGGAGCAACCAACTGAGTTTTGTTTGCTGAAGGGTGGGGTGACAGCAAAAGGGCACCGGGAAACACCAGCATTTCTCTTGTGCCTTCCTGGCCCTGCATGCGCGACTCCTGAATTTACCTCCCCAAAGCAATTCTGCTCCAGGAAAGGGATCACAAAGGTGCTGGGGCTTTCAGCAGAGCAGGGAAGAATATTTTGGAGCTGGGACAGCCTTAGGTGCTCTGTGTCACCCACCGCTGCCGCATGCCAACGAGACACCCATCTCCCTCGGTGCTCACAGCTCAGCTGGTGGCAAGGACATCTAAGGGAGCCAAATCATCGCCTGGGGCCAGCAGCAAGCCACAAGCTGAGGGTGAGCTCATGTGAAGCAGAGGCTGCGCGGGTAGGTGAGGTGCTGGAACATTGCTCCGGGTCCATCTCCTCCGCTGACTCACCCCGCTGTGCGAGCGCTCCCTTCCCTAACAACAGCCGTCCCGGCACAGGGAATGGGGGTGAGAAGGAAGGGAAGGAGGGAAGGGTGGGTCAAATCTCTCCGTTTTGGTATTTAGGACACTTGATCCACACAGGACGACTGCTTTGGCACACAGGAGTGAGAAGACAAGTGAGCTGGACAGTTCAGCCAATGGCTTCATTGAGGGATGAGTCACTCGAGGTTTCCTCCCTGGGAATTGAGTTTAAAAGTGATTCAAGAAATTTCCACTGTGCTAAAAATTAGAAACATCTGCCGAAGTTGTAGGCAGCTGCGGTGCCAAGTTTAGTAACAGTGTTCGCAGCTGATCAGCACGGTAACGCCTTAGCAGGTGCCCGGCGCGGAGCCCTGCCCCGGCACGCAGCACCGCCGGGCACCCCGCTCGCTCACCCTGAGATGTCCCTCCCGCGCTGCCTGCCCCGGGTGCAGCCGCTGTCTTGGGGGGCCCGTTGGTAACTCATCCGAGAAATGCCAGGATTCAGGGCGGGGGGTGATTTCCAAATGCTCTTGGTTTCCTTTATTGCCCTCCATTGCAAGGCAAATTAAAAAAATTCGCTTCTGGGATTTGGTTTAAAAATCGTATTTTAGGGAAGAAAAGTAAGTGGAAGACGTGGTGCAGCGTAAGCCTGCTGCAAGGAGGAAACCCCTGCTACAGCGTTGATGTTCCTTGGTCAGAATAAAACAGCTCCAAAGTAGAAGTCAGCAAATACTCAAGGGCCCGTGAAGCCAAGGTACCAGGAACTGAACCAATTCCTCTGCTTCCAGCCCTAAAGCTTTGCCCACACCCTGTCGCCAGTCAGCGTTACCTTCAGCAGCACAGCCGGGGTGCTGCCACGTCGGTGCAAAGGCACTCAAACCTCCCTTGCTACCAACAAGCACGTTCCTAAACGTGCCTCATAAAACCCCACACTAAGAAAATCTATTATAATTTACTGCACAATTAAGGAGCTTGTTTCAACTGAGCCCTTTCAAGAAACATTCCCAGGTCTGCAACCCTTCTATTGATCTTCAACTTTGTTATTTTAATTTTTAAAAAAAAACGGGGAGGGAAAAAAAGCCCTTTCTCCCCAGAAAACCCGTTGTCTGAACTGGGTGCTCCGCACTGTTTGCACAAGTGAACAAGCGCGCAGGGAGCAGGCGCACACCCCCTCTGCCATTAAACTAATGGAAAGAGCTTATTTTTCTGACACTTGTACCCTTGATACATTTTGTAGGATGTGTTTATTTTTACTGTAAATAGCCTTCGCTCAAAACAGGACCTTGGCGTCGCCCCAGCCCCGTCACAGGTTGTGCTGGTGCCGAGCGCGCGGGCTGGGACGCCGAGCAAGGTTCCCCCGGGCAGCTCGCGCCGGGGAGCCTCAGCCGCCCAAGGGACCCCAGTTAGGAAAGCAGCTGCTGGCGGTGTGCGGAAACCGGGTGGTGGGGTGAGCAAAGGAACCGCTTTCAGGAGGATTTGTGTCAAGGAAAACCCTGCAACGTCAAAGCCGGGGTTGCTATCAGCTGCTCGCAAGCAGGAGATGAAAGGCAGAGCCAAGAGGGGAGGGAGCAGGGACACGCGCTTGCTCCCGGCCACCCTGTGGGGCTGGAGCTGGTGGGTGCTGTCTGTCTGTCCCCCCCAAGGGTCACCCTGTCCCGTGGCAGTGTGGGCAGCTGGATCGTATCCCCTGGGGATGCCCACTCCGCTCACACTGCTGGGACGGGCAGGAACAACCTGGCTGTGCCCCCCGGCTCCCAGCCCCGCAGGGGTTAATTCACCCTGATTGCAGCACAACCCCCCAAAAAAAGCACTGGGCCGGGGTGGTGCTGGGGACGCCCGGGGAGCTGGCAGTGCATCTCAGCGCATGACTTTATTCCTTGCTCTGAAACACGTAGGGACAGCCGGTGCAGGCTTGTGCCCCTCCACCACGCCCTGACACCCAGCAAACCATCACTCCCAGCAAACCATCATTCCCTGCAAACCATCATTCCCAGCAAACCATCACTCCTAGCAAACCATCATTCCCTGCAAACCATCATTCCCAGCAAACCATCACTCCTAGCAAACCATCATTCCCTGCAAACCATCATTCCCAGCAAACCATCACTCCTAGCAAACCATCATTCCCTGCAAACCATAGCAGAGGGTTCCATAAATACGAAGCAAATACCAAAACCCTGATCGACGCAGAAAGCAAATCCAAGATCCCTGCTGGGAGCTGGCTCGTGGTGCTCGCAGGAGGGTGGACTTTAAAAGCAACATCAGGCTTTATCTGTGGGACTGCTATTAAAGCCACTTTTTTTTCTTTTTCTTTTGGTTCTGCAAAAATCTTGTTCAAATCTGACAAAAATGTGTGGCCATACTGCTTGCTCTGCTAAATGCATTTTTTAGGCTTAAAGGAGCTGTCAGCAGCTCCTTTTGTATGGGCAGAGCTGCAGGGTACGGATGGGCTGCCCCACTTGAACATCAGGAACAGGCACGTTCCCCAGCCAAGGAGCTGGGAGAAGGAGGGCTTTGTTATGTCTCAATCTGGCAAGATAAATAAAGTGGATACAACTAGGTCCGAGCCCCTGGGATCTTCTGTTTCCCACGCTGGCATACCTTTTGTGATCGGAAAGGAGACTCGCCGTGCTGGGCGCCGCAGGGCTGCCGTGTGGGCAGGCAAGCCCAAGCGTCCCCCGGGATGGTGGGCATAGCCCTGCCAGCGCGCGGGAAGGCATGCCAGGCTGCATGCATAGGCATTTTCACCTGTAATCCCAGATTTATGAACAAAGCATTTCTCTTAGCTAAAACAACTCTTTGCTAATCCAAAAGCCCTTTCACCCCAGCCTTGGTACAGCACCCAGCCGTCTCCAGCTGTCGCCCGCCTCTGGACCAGGGGGATGATGCTCCCATGGGTCTGCACGTTGCCAGCTCTGAGCCTTTCTGCCCCCCACTTACCTGTTTTAGCTCAGAGGCAGTGGGACCTGCTATCAGGACAAGGATGTCACCGTGGGGGGTGGCTCTGCCTTACCTTGTGCCCCACGTCCGACCACCCAAAGAGAACTGGGGACACGTCCAAGCCGTCGAAGCGCCTGTTCGGGGGAAGCGCCGCCCCAGCCAGGGCCACCAGCGTAGGGAAGATGTCCAAGGTGCTGGGGAAAGAGGTGGCTTTCATCAGAGGAAGGAGCAAAGATCCCTGGAGGGTCCCCCCCAACCCCACCTGCACCCCGCAGCCCCTCGCCCGGGGGGCATTTGGTGCACCAAGGCAAGGGAGTGCCTTGGGGGGGGTCGGCCACTTCCCAGCACCCATCCCAACAGCTGAGCTCTGCAGAAAAGGTTAAAACCAACTTCAAGCAGCGACTCGGCCCCGGCAAGCCCTCACTTGGCACACCTCCCGCCCCCGGCACCGGCTGCTCGCCAGGCGCTGCGGGCTCAGCCAGGATCTGCTGCTCCCGCGCCTGGCAAATCCTGCGCCCCCAGGACAGGGGCACGGCGGGCAGCGGGGTGGCCCCCTCCCACCCTCCTGTCCCCCCCCGGGGACAGCAGGTCACCCTCTGGAGAAAGTGCTAGCACAGGGACTTTTTACGCCAATGACAGCAGATCCCGTCGCCCCAGAAAAATGTGGTCTCGCTTTTGCATGGCGCAGCAGGAGCCGTCGCAGCCAGAATGGAAAATGAGAGCGGTGCTATTTTGTGCACTCCCACCAAAACGCCCGTCAGCATTTCCACCGTAAACCTCTCGGGTTTTTCAGGGGCCTCAGCCACAAAAGAGCACTTGGGGCTCATGCTTGGTTGCTTCCCAGTGTAGAGGGATGCAGGGAAGGAGTGGGCAACCCAGTGTCCCTCTGGCTCCGTGGGATGCAGAGAGGGAGAATCTCTGCTTTCCTGCCAGCTACCTGTGGCCCCAGGGCCAGAGCCCGGCTGCAGCGATTCCCCACCCACTGGCACGTCCCTGCAGTGCAGAGGGACCAAGGTCCAGCAAAGTCATTGCTGGGGTGGGACAGGGATCACCCTTGCGCAGCCTGGGCATGGGCTTCCTCCTCCACCGGCCACATTGCCCAGTGGGGTCCAGGCTCAACTCCAGTGGGATGGGGACAGCCCACTCACAGCCACCGCGTCTGACCCTCGCCCCCACATCCCGCTCCTGTGAGGCACAAGTGTCCCATCCCCCTCGCCACCACCAAGAACATCCCTCACTCATAGACGTGGTTGCAGGGTGACCCCACACCTCTAAAAGGAGCCACCCTGCACCAGGGGTATCCCACGGCCCTGGGGGACAGCGGGACATAAGTGTGGCCAAGTGACACATCACAGCACTGCCCTCCCCAGGGACGAGGCTGTGGCACGGGAGCTGATGAGCCGGCAGAGCCACCGGTGCCAGGCAGCCGGCGGGGACTTAGCCCGCATCCCTCCAGCTGCAAAACCCTCGTGCCAGCAGCTTGGGGGGTCAGTTGGGGCAAGGAAATTGCCAGGGGAGGCAAAAACGCCAGGTCCCCCAACTGGGGGGCACCCAGGGTGCCGCCGCGGTCCTGCAACCGCAATCCTGCAACCATGGTCCTGCCACCGCGTTTCTCCTGCCCAGTGCGCAACGGCTGCTGCGTGAGCGGAGAGAAAAAAGAGCCCAGGGCTTAAGGGCCCCCGGTTCTCCCATTCAATGAGTTTTAATTTAGCTGCTAAGAGACGGAGAGAACAAATAAGAACAAACACTGCTGAGAGGCAGCCCCGGTACGGCGCACTCGCAGAGACAGCCCCAGCAGCCAGGCGAGCTGGGAGGCGCCGAAAAAAATTCTGGCTCTTCACTGCACCCAAGGCAGGGCACATCCCTGCAGGCACCTCGCTGGGGTCAGCCCAGGTCCACGCGAAATGGCAGCCCAGGGCAGGCCCCAGTCAGCGCTCCTGGTCCCACGGGTGCTCAGCACCCTCGGGATCTGGCCCCCAGCATGGTGCATGCGGATGCTCACGTGGTTGCATGAAGCAGCCCTGACCCAGCAGATGGGACCGCTGGAAACTGTCACCGAGGTGGGAGGACAACGTGACTGAGCGCAGAGATGGTCAAAGATCCCCTCAGCCAGGGGCAGATGTAACCCATTGGAGAAAGGCAGGAAAAAACAGGATTTTGGTCAAAGTTGGCATCAAAGCAAAGGCCCCGCCAGCAGGCACATCTTGGAAGCCAAGCTGGGGAAGCTGTGTTGCAGGGAAAGGGGAAGCCACGCTGCCAACCCAAGCCCCGGCCAAGGGGGATTTAATAAATAAAGTCACTCCAGCATCCTGCTGCTGCCCCAAACACCGAGGGAAAAGGGGCTGGCAGTGCCCAGGGCGGGCAGCTCCCTGCCTGCTGCCAGAGGGGCAGAGCTGCCCGCGGCGCTGCGCTGGCGATGAGCATCCTGGGCATGACGGTGGCAGGGAGTGCTGCCCTGCCCCGGTGATGATGGTGCAGGCAGCTGCAGGCAGCTGCAGGCAGCTGCAGGCAGCTGAACCAGCTCCCCCCACACCCCAGCCAGCTTGCCCAACCTGCCCAGCCCCACGCCGCCGGCACAGCCAGGGTGGTGCAATTTGCTTCTTCATCATCCCACTGACCTATTTCTTCCGTGCCCTACTTTGGGATGGGGCAAGGAAGGGCAGAAGCACGGCAGGTGGCTCCAACAATTACATATAATTAAGAAAAGCCGACAAGGCAGTTTTCTGCAGAAACCAGCGTGCAGGTGCAGGTCTGCGGCGATGCATCAGCATTTCTCTGCTGGCTTCAGCTTCCCCAGCGCCCGGCACACTCACCCTTGCTCACCTCTCCACTCCCTGCACTGGGGAGGACACGAAGTCGAGCAATGCCAGGGAGAGGCAAGGCACGGTTCTGGGCAGGCTTTTCTCCCCAGCCAGATGGCAAAGGCTGTCAGCATTTTCATAACCTCAGGGGCAGAAGGAGGCTCATGCAGGCGGTTAATGCCTGCCCTTGCCCAGCCCCTGCCCTTCCTGGGGGATCCCACCAGACAGAGGTCCCTCCTTGTGTGCAGAGGTCTTCCAGCCACATCTGCACACAGATTTCATTCCCTCCCTGGCTTCTTGGTCTTCCCCATCAGCTGGGGCGACAAGTCTTCAACCGCCCTATTTCACATGCTTGTTCTTTGAGGGATGGCCCCAAGGGTGACTGTAGGTGCAGAGAAAAGCCACCTGCCCCGACACACTGCGAGCACCGCGCAGCCCCTGCCCTCTGCATCCCTCCACATCTCTCTGCATCCCCTGACCGAGAGCTCAGGCCGTGGCCAGGACCACAGTCGTGACCCCTTTCTGAGCATGAGCCATCGCTCACGTGCCCCAGGCTGGCTCTGTGCTGCCTCCCCAACAGGGGGTTGCCTCTTCCTGATGCCAGGGCATCGCCCTGCACCGGCCAAGCACGGCCCCGTGGCAATGCTGGGGAGGACGGTGGGCGTGCTGTGACTCCTGGGGAGCTATGGAGCCTCTTTCCAAGCACTGACCGTGCAGCACAGCCTAGATTTCCAGCTGTCCAACCTGCTGGACTGGAGTTTGGAAAATGCAGGAGATAAGGTCTTCGAGGAGATAAACAGAATGCCTGGGCTTGGCGGCAGGGCTGCAGCGTGCGCAGTGGGGCTGGTGGGACAGGGGGATGGGGACAGGCACTGATCCTGCACTGCGCTGCGCCAAAGTGGGCATGGGTTGGCAGCTCTGCCCCACATCCCAGTGGTCGGTCCATCACTCACCCATGGAGGGGAAGGGTTTGGAGGTGAAACCCCAAGGGTGCTGCGTGCACCCCATCCCCTCCGCCAACATCAGCAACCCAGCTTATGCCTCAAACCTTCCCCCCGCTTGCAAAAATCCAGCTCCCAGCGCTGCCCTCAGGCCACGTACGGAGTAAGTGGCTCCAGCTTATCTCATGGACCTTAGAAACACCCAGCACCTCCCTGGGGCCCACCAGTCAGGACCTGCTTCCAGCCGCTGGGACACTCTTTCCCAATGCCCAGCAACCCCGCCCCCGCCCTACCACCCTGCCCTCCACCATCGTGTGCTTCAAGGGACGAAAGGGGACAGGGCATCCCACCGCGCTGTGCCCAGCCCGGGCTGAGCCCCCTGCGCTGCATTTGCTGCAAAGGAGGCCTGTAAAGAGGGGTGCAATTGCTGCAAGGGAGAGCTGCAATTGCTGCAAGGGAGAGCTGCAAGTGCTGCGTGGAGAGGTGCAATTGCTGCATGCAAAGCTGCAAGTGCTGCACGGAGAGGTACAATTGCTGCAAGGAGAGATGCAAGTGCTGCATGCAGAGCTGCAACTGCTGCAAGGAGAGGTGCAACTGTTGCGTGCAGAGGTGCAATACTGCTGTAACAGGGACCCCTCCACGCCACCCTCCGCGGCGCAGCGCTCCCCGGCGAGGCGAGGCGCAGGAGGCGGCAGCCCTTCCCCTCCGCTCTTGCCGGAAACGGCAAAAGTCGCTCGCTACCTCGCAGCCCGGCCGCATCCTGCGCTGATTGCAAGCACCATCTCTCCAGCCAGCCTTTCCCACAACCGCACCCTCCTCCACATAAAGCCATTCACAAACCACAAAGCCTTAGCCTGCTTCTTGGTGGAGAGAGAGAACATCGTCATCTTTTAATTATCGGGAGGTACTCAGCCACCGCGGCCAGGAGGCACATGGAGCCCAGCGGCTGCTAACGCCAATCCACCAGCCTCACAAAAAGCTCTTTCAACTCCTCTTTGCTGAAGCATTAAGTCTTACGGGCTTGGGAGAGGACAAAAGTACAGAGTCTGGCACATGGCAGGCAATAACCAGCGCAGGCAGCTGCTGCTGCCAAAAGCCAGATCATCACCTGGGTCCCAGCGCGGGGACAGCGGGTCCTTCCAAAGGGGGCCAAGGGGCAGCCCTGCTCCCCGATGCGATCTGGCCGGGCTCCTACCTGAGCAAAGCACGGCTCGTCCGCTTGGCAGGGATGCGGCCGGGCCAGTACACCAGCGCCGGCACCCGGTGCCCTCCTTCCCAGGTCGTTTGCTTCGCTGAGCTCCCACCTGCAAGAGAAAAGGGCAGCGCTCAGCATCCTGCCACCCAGGAGCTTTGCATTGATGGGAAAAAAATCCTGACCCAGGAGTTTCCTTGGTAAAGGAACTACTCAGAGGCAGAGATGGAGTAAATGACCCCAAAGCAGGGTGATTTTGCTGGAGAGGGAGCTGGTTCGGGGAGGGAGAAGAGTTACAGGAGTTTTTAAAGGAAATACGAAAGGGAAAAGAGAGGGGGCTCAGTTTGGCACTGCCTTGTGTTTCTCCTCTGCTTCAGCAAGCAATGAGAAATGCAGCCGGCTGCTGGAGCTGCCACATTTCCATCCACTTTTGATGTTGGGCAAGAATATGGAGCAGGCAGGGAATGTAGGAATTTATGCCAGGGGCCGCGAGTGGCCCCATGCAGGCAGCTGCTGCCCTCCACGTGGTAAAGCACCGACAGCCTCCCCACCCTGTGAAAACCCGCTTCATTAAAAATACCATCCTGCTGATAACCCTCCTGCTAGCTAATTAACCTGTTCTGTTGTTGCCCTGGCATAACCCAAAAGGCCCCTGCTCTGCCCTTGGGTTTGAGCTGCATGGCGCAGGGAAGCTGCCCGGACCCTTCCTCCACCTGAGATGCTGAGCACTGAAATGGGGGTGCTGAGCAACACAATGGGGATGCTGAGCAACAAAACGGGGGTGTTGAGCATTGAAACAGGTGGAAGGGCGTTAGACAGCCTCTGCTTTGGCTGTAGCCCAAAGGGCCCCAGGCAGCTGGAGGGGGAAGGGGCTGGGAATGGGGCAAACAGAAAATCCCAACCCAATTCACGGAGCAAACTTCCCAGGCGCAGCCTTTGTCCGCCCGCCTTTCAGCGTGCGCATGGCAACGGCGCTCGCCCAAAGCCATTTCCTCTGGGCAGAGCCAAGAGAGAGGCGACGTCCCCGCTGCGGCACAGCCGTCCCGCGCTCCTCCGTGTCCCCGCACCGGTCCCCATCCCAGCCTGGCCTCTCTGGGCGTCAGTGTCTGATGCTACGGGCATCTGGGCTGATCCTGCACTCCCAAGCGATGCTGCTGTACCCACACTGCTGGAGCAGAGGAGGACACATATGGCACAGATGCCACAGCACCGGTGGCACAAGGAATAGTCCAGGGAAAAGGTTTCTGACCCTGCTGCCTGTCCTGCCAGCGTGGACGAGGCACATCCACAATCTCTCCCACTCCCCACCCAAACCTTTGGGATTTCCCCCCAGTGAACACCTCCTTGTGGCCTGAAGCGATGGCACACCAGTATGTTAACGGTTGGACTTGATCTTAAAGGTCTTTTCCAACCTAAACAATTCTACGATTCTGTGATGACACAGCCGGCACCGGGGTCTCTTGTGGCTATTGGAAATGTAACAGCGCTTCCAACACACATCACATACAGCTTAAGCAACGTGCCTCCTCTGCCTTCAGACGCCCTAGGAAATTATAGCAATTATAGCAATTAATATCAATCCTCATCTCTGCATGTACATTAAATAGCTCGTCCTCCCAGTAAGGCAGCTGCATTTCAAGAGCTTTTCCATGCATGGTCAGGGGGTCTCCAGGAGGACATCGGGTGGGTGTTTCCCGCCAACCACCCGTGGGCAGGCCGCCAGAGCTGCCTGTGAACGAGCTCACATTAACACTTTGGGCAGTAAACGGGGCTGAAACACCCCAAACCCAAGCAGGGATTTTTCTCCAGAGCAGGGATGATGCAGCCCTGCTGCTGTGGGGCCTGTGGAGGCCGTGGCTTTCCAGGAAAGCTGAACTGAGCATTCCCATGCTGGGATGAACCCCCCAGTGCCCCTCCTGCCACGCACAGCAGGTCCTCAGCATGGGGACACTGGGTCTGGAGCCTCCCAAACCTGCCTCAAAACACGGCCAGCATCACATCCCCGAAATGTGCGTCTCCATCCCGGCAGCCCATGCTGGGCTCTTGGCACCGAGGTGGGAGATGCGTTTTCGGGGCGGGCTGGGGGCTGCAGGAAGCTCCGCAGACAGAGAAGGCAGGCAGCACACACGGATGTGCTGCTCTCTCCCAGCGAGGACCGACTCCAGTGACCACTCAAAATCAACGGAAAACATCCCTGGAATTCAGGTTGGACCCTAAAAGGAAATGCCAAGCTGTGCAAAATGTATAGAGTCCCGAGCAGCCTGTCCTCCCCTGCCCTCCCGCTCTGCTCCGCGGGGCTTTTCCCCACCAGAGGACAATACCCCTGGGATGGGATGGCCGAGCATCCCACCCACCCAGCACCCATGCCTGAGGGTGTTCGCAGCATTAGACCAGCCGACAGCAGACAGTAACACCGGGCTGGCTTTCAAAACATCCGTGCAACAACCAGCCAAAGGATTTCAGAAGTCATCCTTCCCAGCCAGTATTTACAGCCAGCTCCTCGAGCCCTGCCAGCCTGACCTCCTCCCCAGCCGCCCGCGATAGCAGGGGCTCAGGGTGTTTTTGCAGGGCAGCGAGAGGCTGGAAAGGGGCCGTGTTTTCCTAGCTTTGTTCACAACCGCTGGACTGCCTGTACCATCTGCTCTGGCTTGTGACCGTCGGTTGCTCAAGAGCAACCCAGGTCGTCAGCAGGGTTTGTTTACTAAAAAAAAATAAATTAAGGTTACGATTTCATTTTGGGGCCAGCCGAAGGAAGGGCTCTGGGAACGGGAAAGCAAGCCAGCCCAGCGGCAGCGTTTGCCCAGGGAGGCAGCCATGGTTTCATTGCCTGGGTGTCAGGAAGCGGAGGAGGAAAGCGGCGCTGCCGCCCGCGGCCCCTCCGCCGCCGCTCCCTCCCCGCTGACCCCGAGCAAAGAGGGGAACCAAGGCCGGTGCGCGTTTACACTGCGTAATACAAGCAGAAGTGGGAAACGCCTGACTCATGCATGCTTCTGGCCGCTCCGGCTGAAATAAACCCACCAAGCAGATGGCTTGGCCGGAAAAGGAGGAAAGGCAGAAAAAAAAAAAAAAAAAA